AAGCCTATAATATAGGGGCCTTAATGATTAGAATAGGGTTTTGGGGCGGATAATATACTTTAATCATACTAAGGAACCCCCGAACCCTAAACCCTAAACCCCAAACCCTAAACCCCAAAACCCGAAACCCATAAACCCTAAACCCTAAAACCCTAAACCCTAAAACCCTAAGCCCTTATTTAGGCCCCTATCGTCTACCGTGAACCCCAAGCTCCTCAGGCTCAGCTTCGGACCACAGGTGCCGTGTGCCCGGCGGCGGTGGTCGTCAGACCCAAAGTTATCCTGGCGTTAAGGGAGCTTAGGGTTTTGGGTTTTAGGGCTTTTGGGTTTAGGGAGTTTAGGGTTTTGGGTTTTAGGGCTTTTGGGTTTAGGGAGTTTAGGGTTTTGGGTTGTAGGGTTTAGGGTTTGAGGGAGTTTAGGGTTTTGGCTTTTAAGGCTTTTGGGTTTAAGGTTTAGGGTTTAGGGTTAAGGGAGTTTAGGGTTTGGGGTGTAGGGTTTTAGGGTTTAGGGTTTAGGGAGAGTAGGGTTTAGGGTTTAGGGTTTTGGGGAGTTTAGGGTTTAGGAAGTTGAGGGTTTAGGGTGTAGGGTTTTAGGGTTTAGGGTTTATGGTTGTAGGGTTTAGGGTTCAAGGTTTAGGGTTTAGGGAGTTTAGGGTTTAGGGCTTTAGGCTTTAGGGAGTTTAGGGTTTAGGGTTTATGGTTCAGGGCTTAGGGTTTAGGGAGTTTAGGGTTTAGGGTTTAGGGTTGAGGGCTGAGGGTTCAGGATCGACGGCTTCCGAAAAAATGGAAGAGGGGTGGGTTGTAGGGCTTGGGCTTCTAGGAGGCTTTGGGTTCAGGGTGTTTGAAGTTTAGGCTCAGGTTGGGTTTCAGAGATTTCAATTTACGCGGGCACTTCAAGGTATCCTTGATCCAGGCTTTTTGCGTTTTTGTACATGGGTAGTCCGGCGATCATGGTGGGATCGAGGTTAGAGCGCTTGGGTTCAAGCAGTCTAAGGGACGGGGCATACAATGCCCCTGCGATAGCACAGAATCAGAGCTCACTTTGCGATGCAGGGAACATGCTTAGCTGCTTAGGTCTTAAGTTAAGGCCCTTCAGCGTCTTTAGTTTTTCCTGATTTCAGGCCGCAATGACACCACTCAGTGACTACCTGCACGTCACGAATCCCGCAACCTGCACACTTTGAATGAGGCTTCAAGTCCTTACGTTCTATATTCCGACCGAGCCATCCATCCGCAACCCAGTAGCCGGAAGGGTACCCATACCGTCACCTGTATATCCCACGCTGCATGCGGTCCTTTCCAAAAAGTTCGGGTTCACGAAGCTCAGGTAGCCAGCAAGCGCATAGTACTCTCCGGCACGCTCACCTGGGCTCCACAGCGGGAAACCCTAAACCCCAAACTTTCCAAACCAATTTCGACGCACGGAAATAAAGGCTCAAGGTTTAGGCCAGAACGTCCGGGGCTCTGTCCAGGCTTAATGGGTTTAGGGTCGAGGATCCGAGCCCTGGACCCTAAAACAAAAAACCAGGCACTACCCATAGGCCCCCCATAGTAGTTCCTTTTTGGGACTCCCGAATAGGATCCTAAATATAAGCCACAAAAGGGAACTACTATGGGGCCTATGGGGAGACCCTGAGTCCTACAGATGAAAACAGATTGCTTTCAGAGCAAAGCCGTAAGCCACGGTTTAGGGTTTAGGGTTTAGGGTTTAGGGTTTAGGGTTTAGGGTTTAGAGTTTAGGTCCAACCGACGTTTGAGTCTAAGCTTGAGGGCTTCGGGGGCAGGGTCTAAGCTTTATGGGGCTTGGGGTTTAGAACGATGAACCCTTGATCCCCAGCCTTTTCAACCCTAGTTTAGGGTTTAGGGATTTAGGATTTAGGAAATTGGGTTTAGGGATTTAGGGAACTCAGGGTATTTAAGGATTTACGGTAAACAGGGTATTTAGAGATTGAGGGCTTACGGTGTAGGGCTTCGGGTTCAGGGCTTATGGTTTGGGGGTTCGGTTGTCGGGCCTCGGCTTAAGGCTGTGAGTTTGGGTCTTTGCGAACGACCACGCTTTAGGGTTTAGGGTTTAGGGTTTAGGGTTTAGGGTTTAGGGTCTTCATGATTACCATCGCCTGCGATGTGTTGCGCTTGTTTTACAGGCGTGGCACATGACATTGCAAGTGTCTTGAATACCCTTACCAGGGGACAAGGGGCCTCTGATTTCAAGAAATGCTCTTGTATGTACGGGCTTTGTACTCACACACCCTGTTTGACAAATAAACCCTAAATAAACCCTAAACCCTAAACCCTAAACCCTTAACACACGAAAGGCTGATGGGTTTTACAAGATCGCTCTTAGCAGCCGGGGTCCCGGCCCCAGCACACCGCGAGCTCTGCGATCTCCTGCGTTCAAAAAGAGAACTGACGCTCTGAAGCTTCAGGTTGAGGGGCATTTAGGGTTTAGGGTTTGGG